ACCCAATGTTGTGGGGACTTGTTCAGCAATTGAAAGTTTGTGATTTTTATTTTGAATGAATTGAGAGGCTGTAGCAGAGGCTGTTGAGGAGTGATGTGATTGGATTTAGGTTAGATACAGATTAAGTCTGGCTAATAGGTTTAGGGAGGGAAGGGCAAAAACTGGGGGCCACCAGGAGGAGACTGCAATAATCCAGGAGGGGAAAGTTGGTGGCCGGGTGTTAGGGCTCAGGCGTCCCAGTTCTCCAAACCCAGTTGACCTGGTTGGATTACTCTGCTGAGCTAGAGGCACTGGTGGTTGTAACGGAAAGCAAAAAGTGAGTGGATACTGGAGGTGAAATTGGAGCAGCAGAGGCCCTGGGATGGAAAGTACCCAGTTTCAGTGTAACAAAGAAATTTTATTTAGGAAGAACAAAGAGAAAATTTAGAGTGCTCATGAAAGAAAAAAAGGCGAGAGAGACTAAGATACAGAGGCTTGCAGGGGTGTAAATACGCTCTCCATTTGAAATTGGCCACTCTGCGCTTCCCAGCAGTCTCACCCTTCTCTATTAGTCATTGATTATCTCTTTCTATTGGTCATTGGTTACCTATGTTACTTCATACCCACATTCTCATAGGCCCTCCAGACTTCCTTATTCAGCCAGCCAGGTTTTCCTCCCAATCCTCCTAGCACCCCTTTCTAAGTGTCCATTCTTACCTGGGTCAGGCTGGCAAGTGTGAAATGGTTGTTCTGAAAATATTTTACAAGTAGAGACCATAAAATTTCCTGCAGATTGGATGGTAAAGAGAGATGATTCTGAGATGATGCCACGGCCTCTTGTTGGAGCACCAGGAAGGGTGGGGATGCCAGGAAGACTGTGGGAAGATTCAGATCACAGCTCACCGGGAGTGAGCAGCTTAGAACCCCACAGTCCTGGCACACAAAAGATGACTTTGTCTTCATCACCACCATCATGTGCTACTTTCCTTGTGTCCTGTGGCCAGCACTGTGGACATCACAGGACCATGGCTCTGGAGGGAAGGAACATGGACTAAAGTCTGGCTCCACCAAGAACTGGCAGTGTGGATGTGGGCAAATTACTAACCCTCTTTGAGCCCCATATTTTTCCTATTCCTTATGAGAGAGGATACCCGGCAGTGTGAGTTCTAGGAGAACAGAGGTCTTCTCGAGGAGACCCCAAGGATACACCTGCAGGGTCCTCTCCATGGTGACTCAGTTCTTAGGAATTTAAGATTTAAATTCTTGGAACCTGGAAATTTATGATTCTATGAAATCCTGTAGTTCTGTAGGGGCTGGAACAGCTTCTCCTGCTTGATTCAAACTGACCAATGAGAATGGTACCTGTGGGTTGGAACCTTTTGACTGGAAATAAAAAGGGAAAAACCAAGCCAATCAAGGAGTGCTGAACCAAGGGTTAGTTTTCAGGTCCCAGGAAGTTAAGTCTACAAATTCCTAAGAAATGAGTCACCATAGGGAGGACCTCCGATGTGTTTCCTTGGGGTTTTCTTGAGATGATGTCTGTTCTTTTAGACCTTACTTTTTCCGGGTATCCTCCCTCAATTAAACCTCAATTACTTTTTTTTTAGACAGAGTCTCAAGCTGTCTCCCTGTGTAGAGTGCTGTAACATCACAGCTCACAGCAACCTCCAACTCCTGGGCTTAAGTGATTCTTTTGCCTCAGCCTCCCAAGTAGCTGAGACTACAGGCATCCGCCACAATGCCTGGCTATTTTTTTTTTTTTATTGTAGTTGCCATTGTTGTCTGGCAGGCTTGGCTGGATTTGAACCTGCCAGTTTTGGTGTATGTGGCTGGTGACTTAGCTGCTTGAGCTACTGGCACTGAGCCTAAACCTTAATTACTTTTTTTCAGAAGAAGGGGCTCATTCAATAGTTATTTATGGAGCACCTACAGCTCAGTGCTAGGCACACCCAGGGGTCAATAGTGGAGTGGAGGGGGACTATTTCTCGGTCAGGTAGTGCCTCTGGGCAGGCTTTGGATTGCGCCGCCCCCCCCACCCCCCCAGCTCATCCATCACGGCTTTTCATTGTCCTTTCACCTGGGTGAAGTGTAGTCTTGCTGCTCCTTTTTATTGCCCTTTGTATCTATACAGCTTCTATTCTCACCTGGTTGTTGATTTAACTTTATGAGGCATAAAAAACTGTGTATAGCTGAGTGGGAAGAGGGACAGGTGTTGGTCAGAGGGAAGGGGAAGGACTTGGCTTCAGAGAATAGCAGGAAGTGGATGTGCTGGGGCTGAGTCTTAGTTATAATAATGCGCAAAGTCCTCAAGTTGAGAGGAGAAGGGTCATCTTTGTTACCTCCCACATGATAACTTCAGGAGTGTCTTATTTGCATGATTCATTCTCAGGAATCATTGAGCAGAGTCATCTAAGGATGATGTTGAGCTGTCTTTGCAGACACCATCCTAACATACGTGGCCATATCAGAAGGTGCTTGAATGAGAACAGCCACTTGAAAAGATACCATTGAGCAATGGTTCCCAAACTTGAGTGTGCATCAGAACCACCTGGTGGGTTTGTTGAAACACAGAATGCTGGAGCCATCCCCAGAGTTTCTAATTCAGCAGGTCTGGATGGGGCTGCAGAATGTACATTGTCTAACAGGCTCCCCAGATGATGCTGATCTTGTAAGTTCAGGGGCAATTATTATAGAGCATATTCAGGCATCAAATGCAGTCAGACTATCTTTCAGATCTTGGCCACTTCCAAAATTCTACGCCTTAAGAGAAATGCTAGTAAAATCTTAGTTTTTCTCCCAGAGACTTTATCTACTTCAGTTTTCCCTGTCTCAGTAAAATGGCTGTCACCCAGTTACTTGACCCAGAAACCCTGGCATTGTCCTCAATTTCTGCCTCTTCCTCAGTTCCTCCTACAGGATTTGATCCAACCCCTAGAGATCTCACTTCCAAACTTAACTCTGTGATGGCCGCCTCCACACGTGTGTACCTCCCCAACCATGATGTGTCCTTACAGAAACTGGTTTCACCAGGGAGCTTCTGATTATCCTGCAGCCATTGTGTCAACACAAACTGTGGGCAGTGGCAGTCCTGGGAAGGGAAGTCAGGGTGGTGTGGGTGACAGAATGGCACTGTTGTAACCCAGTCCTCTTTCCCTTCGCCTTCATGTGTTCCCTTCACCCTCTTCTGTCCCTTTCTCCAGTCCATTTCCCTCATCCTCCCCCACAGAGTCGACTCCAGGAACAAGGCAAGTCCCATCTCCCCCCAGGGTGGCTGAGAACGTGCCATGTCCCCCAGCTATGTTCCCAGGCTCTTTCCCCCTAGGGTTGCCAAGAACAAACTTCAGAACAAGGCAGAAAAATCCCAAGTTTCACAAAACCCCCAAATTCTCGGTAGGTGAACAATGGTAGAAAACTCACTGAGACTTGATTAATTATTGTTGTATAACCATAACCATTGTGATATGAGATGTATCCGTTGTCAACCAAAGCTGTATTAATCACTATTGCATTACTGTAACCATTGCTGTATCCATGACTACCCGAGCTGTAACCCCCCTTAACCAGCCACGTTTTGCTTCTGTAACATGCTTACACAAAGCCTATAAAAGGCAATTTCACCCCCCTACTGTAGGTAGGTAAAATTTTACCTGCAGCAGGTAAAATAAATTACCAATTAATTACATCTAAGTGGGGGGTCTGACTCTATCCTTTCAGGTCTTAGGGGTTACAACAGCACTGGAGTGGGGACCAGTAGGCTCATGTCTTTCCTTGAGAGGATGGATGTCCCCCCTGACATTGAAATGCACTTTTCAAAGACTAAACATACTTTCTGCATGTGATCAAACATACTTTCTGCATGTGATCACCCTCTGAGGAGGGTGGCAGGAACAGCAAGTGTGAATCTGCGACTGTGAAATATAAGATCACAGATCTCTCTCTTTTTTTTTTTAGCCACAATGCAAAAACTAAAATTTTTATCAGTCATGAAAAGAGAGAAAGTCCTCCAAGTTACACTCAGTGCCATCCCTGCTGGGTCACATGGTGTCCCCTCCCTCACTCCACCACAGTCCTGCTTTTCCCGGGATGCTTCCAGCTGTGGAAACCTGTGTAACATAATAAAAACACATATTTGGTCTCTATCCCTCATTCCTGGCACATACCCCTAAAACCCCCACCCCTGTCCAGGCAGTCAGGGAGCTGGGTGAATCTGATACTCTAATACTGGGTCCTTGACCCTGCGGATTGGCACAGACTTCCTGACCTCTAGGAATTTCCTGGGTGATAGGAGTGTCTTTTGTCCTAATAGAGTGTCTCTTGGTAGCTCCTGGAGAAAGGGCTGGTCACTAGAAGGAACAAGCCATGATTAGAAGTTCTGAGCTTTTAGCTCCCCGCCCATCCTCCAGAGAGGGGTTGGGGTAACAGCATTAAGAGGACTGATCATCTTAGTGGATGTGTCAGTCTCCCCAGAAAGGTGTGGTGCTTTATTGCAAACATTCTCACTGCCCCTTAATGCCCCACTCGGGTGGCACTTCCTCTACCAGGTCTGTTCTCCACTCTCCTCGTTCCTTGCCCCTTCACTCTGAGAACAAATCACATTTTTATCTCTGTTTCTTCTATGTCTTCCTCCAGGCTACTCTGTGAGGGTGAAAATTGTTCCTGTGGACCTCAGAAGTTCCCTGGGGTCAAGGACTACATCGTGTTCACTGATGTCTACCTTCCTGTCATCAAGAGAGGCCTGGACGCATTGGATACACACACAAATTTATTAAATGAAGGACTGATTGAAAGAGTACACACATGCACATGCCCTCAGCAGGGCCTCTTCATTAAAATTCATTTTAAATTCCCACCTTCTTTTTGATAGAACAGCACAATTTCCCAGACCCAATGGAAGAATGAAGCTGAGGAGAGACATTTTCCCCAGTTGTCAAGACAGGGAGAAACCTGGATTATGGAAGCCCAGTAATGAGAGGCCTTCTTTGGTTTCCAGTAAAAGATGGTTCTAGAATCTTTAGCTCTGCTTATGTGGAGCCTTGGACCTCACTGGAATAACGTGGTGGTGCCGGCATGTTCGATGGTTCTGGGATGAACGCTGTGCTTGTTGCGTAGACATTTGGGTAGATTGTGCTCACCTGGAAAACAGGTGCTGATGAAGATGGAGGAAGGGTGTGGAAATGGGGGGACATCTGTACTCCACAAGGCTTCTGGAGGCATCTTTCCACCCACTGAGGAGCCCAGGACTTACAGTGTTACGCGGACAGCAGACCATCTGGCAGCCAAAGTGGGCAGCGGCCACTGAAACCCCCAACTCCAGCAGGCAGAAGACCAGCAGCACGCCTGAGGCCATCAACCCAGGGGCCTGAGGCACAGTGGAGGGATGGGAATGGTGAGTTCCAAGGGTGGCCTGCAAAGGACCATCTCTACGGCTTCAGGGGGTCCCTGTCTTCTCTCAGCCTCAGGGGGAACATTTCCCACCTGGAGTCTGTGAGGACCAAGTGTGGGGGTAAAGGAGTGACAATTTCAGTGCCTGCTCCCAGCTCCCCTAAGGGACAGGATCATCCTTGTTTAGGGAAACACCCTGACAGTTTGCTTCAGGTGGAGCCTGATGGCCTGAGGGTGAGATCTGGAGTCGCACAGGGAAAGGGAAGCTGTTTTGTGGAGGGGAGGACGGGAATGGGGATTTGAGGACAAATCTCAGAGAGAAAGCCAGATGGCTAAGGGGGGAGGCTGGTCCTGAGCACTAGGGCTGAGGTGCAGCCTGCAGTGAAAGGCCTCAAAAGGCAGGACTGGCTCCCTGCAGGAAATCAGTGGTTTGCTGGGCTCTGATGGGAACCCTAACCCTGACTCCTCCCTCTGAGCCTCTGCATCTTCTTGGCTGTGACAGTGACATTTAGTGGAGGGAGCAGTGGAGACTGTACTTATGCCTTGGGTAAAAGAGTCAGTGAAATGATCCCCAAGTCGAACTAATTCAGTGGCAGCAGCAGGAGGGACCAGGGGAGACACAGGCTCTCTGTTTGTTGTCCTCGAGAACACCCAGGGTGTGGGGTCTCCCAGACTACCAGGAAGGAGAGTTTGAGGAGAATCCATTTTCACCTGAGAGGTCAGCGGCTGACCCAGTTGCATTTGGGTTCCAATTATGTGAGATGATAAATGTGGTATAAATGATATCAATTGTAATCAATAAGACACATGACATATGGTAGGTACCAAAGTAGATTTTCTAAATTATTGTTTTTAAAAGTGGCCTTAATGGTGGCCACCTGCTCAGAGAGTTGTCCCTTTTGCAGTGGCCTCTCCTGAGCCCTTTCCTTCTCCTCCCCCTCACTTCAGCAGGCAGGGTACAACCTCCTGGGTACAAGTGGCTGAGACAAGCTGCTAACAGCATAGGATAAGAAGGGGCAGACCCAGATACAGATGGGATCATTCCCCTCACAGGGTTGGAGCCATAAAAGAGCAAAGAAAGTACCTGGGTGCTGAGGGGAGAGGGGTTTGATCCTTACCAGGTGACTTGGAAGGTAGGTGGGAGCTGCCTCCCAGGCAGAGGGGAGGCAGGATGGAGGGGTCTGAGCCAGTGAATCCCAGCTTAGGGTGGAAAGGTGTGCTCGACCTTTAACAATGTGTGTGTGTGTGTGTGTGTTGCAGTTTTTGGCTGGGGCTGGATTTGAACCCGCCACCTCAGGCAAATGGGACCCGTGCCCTACTCCTTTGAACCACAGGTTACGCCTTGTGTTTTTTTTTTTTTTAAACTAAATTCTGTCATATGTAAAACAAAAAGTGTCTGTCAAGCAGCTGAGACTATTTGCTGTCCAACCCCTGGTGCCCCTGAATTCTGGGGTCATTATGTGTGAGGCTGAGACACAGACTTGCCCCAGCCTTGAGACAGGACCTCCATGGTCAGAAGGGACAGCTGAGGCGGCTGGTGGGCATGATGGGAGGTCTTCACCAGAGATCAGACATTGTCAGAAGTGAGATTAGATTTTACTGAAAAACTACAGCTCTCTCGGCACCAGGGTGTTGACTGTGCTTCTGGGCTTTAGTCTTTCTGGAAGCCCGTCCCCATCCTCCTTTGCCTTTAGACCCCACCCAGCATTTGCTTCCTTATGTTTTACTGGGAACAGTCCGTGCTGCCTGGTTGTTTGTTGATTCTTTCCCAGAAGGAAAAGCCCCAAGTATCCTTCTGTGCCTGCCTCTTCAGCGGATGGAGGTAGCTGTGGTTCAGGGTGAGTGAGAGATTGGAAGGGAGGTGAGCTGGAGGGCACAGCGAGATAGAGCCAGGTCCCAGGGAGGGCGAGTACCTGCCGAGGAATTTGGACTTCAACCCTAAATCATCTGGAAGCCATAATATGTTTCTGGAAGGGGAGGAACTTAAGGTACTTTTGATAAATAACTTGGATGTGGCCTATCTGGGGAGGAGCTTTTCTTAGGAACCTTGGAGAAGTCTTAAATCTGTTGGAGATAAAAGGGACTTCTGATTGGATACAAACAACAGCGAAAGGCTACCCTTTACTGAGTATACATCAGAGCCGCCACGTTCATTTATGCATTTGATAAATGCTTATGGCACGTCAGGCTTGTACTGGGTGTTTGAGATGTGACTGTGCATGAAACACCTTGCCCTTAAGAAAGCTTATATGGCACCCAGCCTTGCATGTAATGACCCCAGAATTTAGGGGCTCCAGGGGTTTAACAGAACAAATTATTTCCAGTCAAAAGCTTGTAGCGGGAGGAGGCAGGCAGCAAACACGCTGAGGGTGTTAGAGGAGGCACAGATGAGGGACAGGTGAACTAAGGGGAGGGAAGCGGGGGGCTGGGACAGGGTGCCTGTTGGGTTGTTCACGAGGCCTCCCTGGGAAGGGGATTACTGAGCGCTGACCTGAAGGAGGCAGGGAAGGGAGGGAGGGAGCCATGGGGTTGTCTGCGGAACTCTGTGTGAAACACTTGGATCGGTTCAGAGAACATTGGGGAGGTTAGTGTGGCCCATCGAGAGAGACAGAGGCTCCTAGCAGAGCCTGGCATTGAGGACACGAGCGACGGCATCTTCAGGGGTCTGCAAGGTTGTTTGCTTTTTTCTTGAGGAAAATGACAGGGAAGCATTGGAAGGTTTTGAGCAGCAAAGTGACGTGATCTTACATTTCCAGAGGATCCCCCTGGCTGCTGTGTGAACTGCCGTGTTGCACAGAGGCCAGTGTGGGAGGTGGGGCAGCTAGAAGGCTCTTTCTGTTACCAAGAGGATGGCTGTGGGGGCCTGGGCCGACGGGGATGTGGGCTGGGGGAAGGGCTGCATTGTGGGTGTGTTTTGAGAGTGGAACCAAGAGGATTGCCTGAAGAGTTGACTGTGAGGTGGGAGAGGAGGAGGGGTCACCTGGAAGGATGGAGGTGGCATCTGTTGGAATCAGGGAAACCGAGTGAGAAGGTTTGGGAAGTGAAATGCGGAGGTGAGCCTTGGATGTGTGAATTCTGAGCTGTTGAGTGGACTGCTGGATGTGCCAGACAGGACACAGGTCCTGGTGGGCAGGACAGAGGATGCAGCTGGATTTATTGTCATAGAGAAGGTATTTCAAGTCAGCAGGCTGGATGAGATTGACAAGGCAGATAGAGAAAACAAGAGAAATGATGAGTAAGTCTAAAAGATTGGAGAAAAGAGAAGCAGCAGCAAAGGTGACAGAGAGGAGAGCCTGGAAGGCTAGCAGAGTCCCCCAGAGAGGAGGAATGATGGGGTCGTGGGGCAGAGCAGGCTTTGGGAGAAGTGAGGCTGAAAGTGACTGCAGGAGGTTCCATGGGTATCTGGGTGGGGGGGAGTAGGGGAGCAGCAGAGGCAGTGAGCACAGACCATCATTTTAGAGATTTGTCTGCGAAGACGACCAAGGAAATAGGGCGGCTGTTGAGGAGGGAGGCAGGACCCAGAGAAGGTTGGTGGTTTGTTTTTTAAGATGGTAGAAATAAAAGCATGTTTAGGGTGGCGCCTGTGGCTCAAAGGGGTAGGGCACCAGCCCCATATGCTGGAGGTGGTGGGTTCAAACCCAGCCCCAGTCAAAAACTGCAAAAAAAAAAAAAAAAATCATGTTTAATGCTGATGGAAAAGCTCTAGTAAAGAGGGCAAGGCTGATAATGCAGAAGAGAGATGGGTAGAGGGATAGGGGCTGAGGACTCGAGGAGGTGGGAGAGGATGGAGGGATTAAATTTACTCGAGAGACAAGCAGCTTATCTGTAGGTGCCCTGTTCAATTCAGTAGCCCCATGTGGTCTAGATGTGGCTAGTCCCAAATCAAGATGTGCTGTAAGTGCAAAATACACACTGGGTTTCAAAGACTTAGTACCCTCCACCGCAAAATATTAAGTCCTTATGGTGATTACATGTTGAAATAACAATATTTTTGTTGCCTTTTTTCTTTTTTAAAAAATGTGGCAACTAGAAAATTTATTTATTTATTTTTGAACAGTGTCTCACTTTGTCACCCTTGGTAGAGTGCTGTGGCTTCATAGCTCACAGCAATCTCAAACTCTTGGGCTCAAGTGATCCTCTTGCCTCAGCTTCCTGAGTAGCTGGGACTATAGGTGCCTGCCACACGGTTATTTTATTTTATTTTTTTTTGAGACAGAGTCTCACTATGTCCTCCTTGGTAGAGTGCCGTGGTATCACAGCTTACAGCAATCTCAAACTCTTGGGCTTAAGCAATTCTTTTGCCTCAGCCCCCCGAATAGCTGGGACTACAAGTGCCCCCCCAATAATGTCCAGCTATTTTTTGGTTTCAGTTATCATTGTTGTTTAGCAGGCCCCGGCCAGACTCAAACCCACCAGCCTCGGTGTATGTGGCTGGTACACTACTCACCAAGCTATGGGTGCCAAACCATGCCTGGCCATATTTTAGAGATGGGGGTCTCACTCTGGCTCAGGCTGGTCTTGAACCTGTGAGCTCAGGCAATTCACCCTCCTCCACCTCCCAAGAACTGAGATTACAGGCGTGAGCCACCAGGCTGGGCCTAACAATTAGAAACTTTAAAATGTCATATATGACTTATATATTTCCATTAGACACTGTGCTCTATAGTACAGGCTGGCAGATTATGGTCCATAGGCCACATCCTGCCTGCCACTTATTGGAATAATAAAGTTTTATTAGAACACAGCCATGCCCATGTTTCATATTTTCTGTGGCTGCTACAGGGGAGCTGTAGCTGTGACAGAGACTGTAGGCTTGCAAAGCCTTACTTAGTAGGAGCCCTTTACAGAAAATGTTTGGTTAACCCTGGTCTACGGTAACAGGCAGCAAGGCAGAGGTTGTGAGTAGAGGTGCTGGCTGGTGAGTGCATATGCATCACATACTTGATTGCATTTGATTCTCTGGGCAATGCCATAAGGCAAGTACTATCCTACAAAAGCAGAAACCAAGACTAGGAAAGGCCATGTGCTTAAAACTACACATCAAGGACTTTAAACTCTGTTCTGATTCTGATACCGCCTTTTCCCTGCCCTCCTTGCAATTTTCAGGCCCCTTGCAGCAGTTTTCTAAATATAGTTGAGTCAGAACCCAGAAAATCTTTGGTCAAGAGGGATACTCACCACTCCCCAAGAGTAAGGATAATGGTTGGGGTGGATATATGAGGTGTTGACACTTAGATCTACGATGAAGAGTATGAATCCAACTGAAGCACTGATTGCACTGACGATGTTCAAGCCCACGCTAGCATTCAGCTGAAGAAGTCAACACAGAGGGTCAGAGTGGGAGAGAAAACGATTATAGCTGAGATAAGTTGAGTGTCAATAAGTGTTTCCCTTTCCCCCCATTTTTTATTGTGTTAAAATATACATAATATAAAATGTATCATTTTAGCCACTATTAAGTGTTTGGTTCAGTATTATTAAATGCATTCATAATGTTGTGCAACCATCACCCCCATATCTCTTTTCAACAAAAACTGTATCTTAATGTGAATTCCTGGAGCCCTAGTTCTGTAGCAAGTAAAGAGGAATTCTATGAAAAAATGGTTTTGAGGTAAGTCGCCTTTGAAAAAAGTTGGGTTGAGCAAAGGTAAGCAGGTGTTTGCTGCAGAACTTCTCAGAGCCTTTAAAAAGGATCATGGATCTTTCAGAGAGAGAGAGAACCACCGAGATTTTGTCAGGTTCATCTACCTGCCTTCATAGAGTGTATCATGGGAGAAGAGTTTCCAAGAATAATCTTATTCCATGGGATACAGGCAGGAGTCTCTGCCCTAGTATCTTGGGATTTGATAGGCTCAGATACTCCATGATTCTGGGCCATATGCAGAAAGATACGCCCAGACATTTTGAGTTTCTCTTTGGAGATTTTCAAATAGATGTCATCTGGTTGTACAGACCAAGCCTCTCTGAAGCCCCTTACCATAATTAACCTGCTTGGGAGAAAATGGAAGCTACCTTCTTGTTCTGTTGCTAGGGGAGCACAAAGCTTTGCGTATGCTGATGACTACAGCCCTATTGGCTTGACTCCCTAGGGAAGCAGGTGCCCAAATTCCCTTGGTGTCCCTGCAGAAATGGCTGTGCACTGTAGGCACTCTGGGCTCCTTGCTCTATGGGAGGGCAGCCCAGGGCCCCTGGGAACTCTGTGTCTCCTCCTGTGAGAGGTTCTAAGGAAGACTATTCTCTCTCTCTCTTACTCCCTCCACACTCTGGTGCCTTAACTAAGGTGACCGTGTTGGCCCTTCCTTCCCCTGAATCCTCCGGACTCTTTACCACTGTGACTCCAGGCCCAGGGTCATGTGGCCAGTATGCCAGTGAGAATGTGTGTGAGTACCCCATGTCTAGATACAGCAGGTGCAAGCATGGGGAGGAATATTACGCTAACCTTATTTTCCCCTTGTGACACTATCCTATTGATCCATAATGGGAGAGCTCTTCTTAGGATGCTACTTACCAGGCAAGAAGAATTTGGCTGATTTTCTGCTGCCACTGACAAAGATCCTGAAATGATAAACTGGCACAGGGTAGAGGGGGTTAGAAGTTAGGAGTTAGGGCTTCTGTGATTCTGGTCATACATGCTAGGTTAGTTTTGACGATTAGCCATTCTCACAACTTCTTTTTCCATTTTTGTTTTGTTTTGTTTTGCAAATTAAGAAGAGGCATCTCTTTTGGGAAGATGTCCCCTTGCAGGGCTATCACTTGACAGTATGGGCTGAACTGTGTCTACCCCCAGAATGTGGCTGTATTTGGAGACAGGGTTTTTAAAGAGGTAATTACGGTTAAATGAAGTCATTAGAGGAGACCCTAATCAACTATCAGAAGAGGAGGTTAGGACACAGACAGGCACAGAGGGGCGACCGTGTGAAGACACAGGGACAAGATGGCCATGTGCAAGCCAAGGAGAGAGACATAAGGGGAATGACCCCGCTGATGGTTTGATCTCAGACTTCCAGCCTCCAGAACCATGTGATAACAAATTTCTATTGTTTCAGCTACCCAGTCTGTGGTACTTTTTTATGGTGGCCTCAGAAAACTAAAAGGCTTGGTGGACAAGGCCTGGGCTGGAATGGCATTGCACACACTTGGGAGGGACGCAGGGCACAGGGCACAGGGCGCAGGGCGCAGGGCACAGGGTGCAGCTGCATAACCTGATGAGGTGGCCCTGAGTGCCTTGGTACCTTCTGGGAACTCACTTGCAGGGTGACAGGAGCCACTTACCCAGATGCCTCCCCAGAAGACAAAGCCTCCGTAGAATGAGATTGCTAGATAGTCCCCGTAGAGAACAGTCGCCAAGACTGAGCTGAGGCCAAGGTGAAACAGGCCTATCAGGATCTGGATGGCCTATTGAGAGAGCCATAATCTGAAGCCCAGTTCCTGAGGCTGGATCCCGCATCCCTCCTTGAACCTCTTTTTTATTTTAATAAATGTTTTGTGTTCTTGGTCTAAATATATAAATGAAATAAAAATGACCTATAATTTCTCCCTACCTAGAGAAAACAACTGTTTACATTTTGTATTTAAGCTTTCATTATTCATTTCAAATAGATACCTTGATAATAAAAAATGATCTGTATTTTATTTTATTTTTATTTATTTTTATTTCTTTTTGAGACAGAGTCCTGGGTAGTGTGCTGTGGTGTCATAGCTCACAGCAACCTCCAACTTGGGCTCAAGCGATCCATTTGCCTAGGTTTTTCTATTTTTAGTAGAATCGGGGTCTCGATTTTGCTCAGGCTGGTCTTGAACTCGTGAGCTCAAGCAATCCACCAGCCTTAGTCTCCCATGATCTGTATTTTACTAACGTGATATTTCATCATGAACATGTCCCCATGGCATAAAGCATATCAAACATATGCTTTTTAAAGGTCGACCAGATTCCATCACAGATGTTATGTGACATAGTTGGAACAAAGATATTGCACAGGTGAGATGGTTTCTGTTTTCCTATTATATGTAACATTGAGATAAATGTCCTTGGATGTAAATCTTAGCCTTCATCTCTTATTTCTTTAGGATACTGCACTGCTCTCCACCAAATTCATAAGTTGAAGTTCTAACCCCCAGTAGGTCAAAATGTGACATTTTGGGAAGAGGGTTGTTGCATATGTCATTAGCTGAGATCACACTGGAGTAGGGTGGGGCCCTAATCCAACATGACTGGTGTCCTTTTGAAAAGAATCTCACATGAAGATTGGAGTGATGTTACCACACACTGTGAAACTAGAAAAGCTGAGAGAAAGGCCTGGAGCAGATACTTCCCTGGAGCCATCAGAGGGAGCTTGGCCCGACTGACTTGATGTCAGACACCTGGTCTTCAGCACTGTGAGATGATACATCTCTGTGTTTCTTAAACCCTGAGTTTACTGTGTTTTGTTATGGTAGCCCTAGGAAAGTAATGCAGATGTATTTTTGCACACATGGTGTATGCACACATATGTGTACAGACAGCCCCTGACTTATGAGGGTTTGACTAAAGATTTTTGTGACTTTCCTATGTTGTGAAAGTGATACACATTCAGTAGAAACCTGGCTTTGAATGCCCACACTCAAAGTCTGTTTTTCACTTTCCATATAGTATTCAATAAATTACACAATATATTGATACTTTATTATAAAATAGGCTTTGCATCAGATGGTTTTTCCTAACTATAGGCTGATGTGTAATTGCTCTGGGCACGTTTAAGATAAGCTAGTCTATGATATTGAGTAAATTAGTGTTTTTTTTTTTTTTTTTTTTTTTTTTTTTTTTTTTTTTTTTTTTTTTAGGCAGAGCCTCAAGCTGTCACCCTGGGTAGAGTGCTGTGGCATCACAACTCACAGCAACCTCTGACTCCTGGGTTTAAGTGATTCTGTTGCCTCAGTCTCCCAAGTAGCTGGGACTACAGGTGCCCACCACAATGCCCGGTTATATTTTGGTTGTAGTTGTTGTTGTTTGGCAGGCCCGGGCTGGATTCAAACCCGCCAGCTCTGGTGTATGTGGTTGGTGCCTTAGCTGCTTGAGCTATAGGAGCCAAGACAAATTAGGTGTATTAAATGCATTTTTGACTTGGTGATATGTTCAATTTATGATGGTTTTATTTGCACATAACCCTATTGTATGTTTAGAGGTATCTGTATAAGTATGTATGCTAAAAACATGGTTGCAAATACAAATATATTATTTCCTTAAATTTTCAGAAATCATAGCAAATTATAGGCACTGTCTGCCCTTTTTCCCTTGATGCTCTATCTGGGAATATCTGGGGTATGCCTGTATCATTACATAAAGAGCTTTCTTCTTTTTCCTCATGGCACTACATTGAATTCTTTGGATGTACAAAATTTTGATTTAACTGGTATCATGTTGATAGATATTTTAGTCACTTTCATTCTTTTATTATCATGAGTCATGATGTAATGAGGAAGCTTATAAATGCCACATTTCTTGTAGGTGTGGGTATATGCATATCTGGAGATAACGTCTCAGAAATGGAATTATTGGATATTTTGTAAATTTGGTACATACAAATTGCTCTATGCACAGGTTATATCAATTTCCACTCCCATGAGCAGTATTGGAGGGCGGAGCCAGGACTGGGCTCAGCCACCAGGTTCAAAATTCATGAGTGTCATCATCCAGCTGCACGAAGAGCTGGGCTTCCCTTTGTCTTACCCAGGTTGTTGTGAATTCTCGTGTGGATTGTCTAACCTGCTTTTTTCCCTATTAGGCAAAGATTCTATTCCAGCATCCCTTTCTTCCAGAGGCCATATGGATACACACAGATGTCAGCAACAGGATTAATATTCAAGTGTACTAGGTTTTTTTTGTTGCATTGTTTCTTTTTCCTAAAATGGTTAAATCAGAAAATACCGAGGTCCATACTGGGGCCCCTGGTGAAGCTGCACAGATGAGCTTTCTACAGACCCAAGTGTGGTGAGGGAGGGTCAGCTGCATCTCCACTGGCTGGATTTGGAGTTTCTGTATTTCCTAAGCCATCCCTTTCTCTCCCTCCAGCATGGCAATCCCTGGCCTGCAAAGTGAAAGGTCACTCACCCCTAAGGTTTTGCCTTCTTTCAAGCGGTTCTGGGCAGGTTGCACATTGACATTGACATTCGACTCCAAACCAGGAGGGTTTCCAGGAATTAGATGGACTTGGGGCTGGTTGTTTGGATATAGGGGCACTTGAGACACGACTTGTGGGATGATAGGATAACTGCTGGGGGGTGCTGCCGCAGGATAGCTGCCTTGGGGTGCCGTCGCAAACGTGGAATTGGCCATAGGGTCTGCTGAAGTCATTGAATTCATGCTGCCAAAAAATAAATGTGACAAAATGGTCTCTCATACATGCACTTGGTATTTACATTTGAAAAGGACTGTTGCTTCTTTTAGCTCATTTGAGCATCTGAACCCCCTAAGAGTTTATTAATCTTGTTTTAGAGATAATGTTAGGGGGCCCAGAAGAGGTGCCAGGTTGGGGAGACTTCTGACTTGGGTCTTCCCCCTTGCCAGAAGCTCTGGTGCTTTTTACTCCTTCTGTATTCCTTTCCATCTAATAAAATCCTATCTTACTGCTGATCTGTGGTCTGTGGATTCAGTTTTCAAATCCCCGAAACCAAGGACCTAATGAAGAAAGAAATTCTGGTAACATATTTTGGGGCCCTTGTCCAAGATTGACGATCTTTAGCAAGCAATGGGACCACTTAACTGTATCCTGTTTTTCTCTATAATCGTAACAATGGAGACTAATAATTCAGATGCCTGTCAGCTCCTAAAAGTGCATAGTGCTGCTGCCGACTCCAGGTCATGGGAGAGAGGCTGTTGGGTAATAAACTAACTTTCTTTCTTTCTTTCCTTTCTTTCCTTTCTTTCTTTCCTTTCTTTCTTTCTTTCCTTCCTTTCTTTCCTTCCTTTCTTTCCTTCCTTTCTTTCCTTCCTTTCTTTCTTTC